ATATAGGCATATTCATCTAAGATCATATATAGATATATATATATATATCTATATATGATCTTTGCTTTTCAAACAATCGTCGATAGGTTGAAAGAACAGGTGAGAAGACGTAGTACACTTGATTCGTTAGTAAATCCAAGATCGGCGAAAATCAAATCCAAATTTTTCCGCACAGAGACCCACATACACGCACATGCCCCTCACGAGCCAGTAACAGAATATACGAAGCTCTTCTCTGAGAGAATGCTGGGACGTCAAAACGGATCCGTTCGCATATATGCAAAATGTATCTGTATTTATATATTTTCAGATATAGAAATACCTATCAATAACACTGTCACACATTTGGAATCTGACTAGCCGGACAATGTGAGGCGGCTCACCGGTTACACTGCACAGTGGGTGTTATTTCCTCTTCAAAAACGTTTTTTATATTCGCAGCGATGATCAGTACACTGCCTTCCGGCAGGCAGCTGGGATTACCGCTGCCAGGTCGACAAAAAGAATAACTGTATAATACTTTATATACAATAGGACTATATCCTGCATACGGTCCACTTTTTTAGATGACTCTGATTTTCTCATATAGCATTGTAATTTTTGCGAGGGAAATATCCAATTGTATTAAAAAGATGATGATAATTATTATTATTATTCCTAATCCTGGTGAGATGACAAACGGGCTTTGATAACGATGAGGCTAGCAATGTCGCCGTCGAAACTGTTGTTGCAGTTATTTAGCAATGGACTTGTAACACTATCAATACCAGTACCTCTGCTAGCGCCGCTCAAAATACACACAACAAATCTCGTATTGCGTAGACTGTTATCTCCCACTAGCAGCAATAGCAGTACTCCTACAGCCCATCATCATAACAATATCAAGACGTAAACATCAGGGCAGACAGACACCCAGCTCTGTTGATTCACAAGGACTGCTGCTATGTAAAAAGGACTCTATATACAGCAGCGCTGGGAGTCAGTGAGATAATCAGTTAACCTGCACGCGGCAGCCTTCTTGCCTTTTTTCCGCTACGAACCAGTAACCACCGAGCGATTAACCTGCCAGCGCTGCTGCTGCCCCTACCCAGGGTCCCGACTACGGCGCTGGTACGGCGGCCATGTTTTCATAAACATTAGATCATTCTACCCAGTAGAGAAGGTATGTCAAATTCAGCTCGGCACTAAATGTCACCGAAACGCTGCTCAGGCGTCCCGTTAGAATTTTCATGTTAGGTACAAAACTAAATAGATCCGGCCAGTGACAAAGTAATATTCATTGATTTTACTTGATTGCGTTATTATAACACCAGATTAAATAGTTTACCACTTGGTAATAATGTGTGAAAAAGACTGTTCCAAACAAGCTGCCGTTTTGGCGCGCAGTTTGACTGAATGAAGTATTCCACCGTTGCTTATTCGAGACAGAATCTGGAAGAAGCCATCAGACGATTGGCGGGCGGGCGATTCAACAGCTGCTGGTTGGCGCGAAAATTTAAAGATACAAGATTTTCAACGGCTGCAGTACCGATGGAAACTCATTGGGGAGATATTTTAATAAACGCTCGTCGCCTTAGAGTTTGTTTACGTTCAATTGGTCGTCCGCTCATTTCTCCTCGCGTTGTCACATACTAACGGAATTGCTATCAGCACCTGTCGCTGTAAGATGATGTATCATCTGAGATGGTCTAAGCCCGAAACCAGTCGCAATCAAACACTAGCTGCTCACCATGCTCACTATTAATTTTATTTAAATAATTTTATGCTGGAGTAAGCCAGCGGTTTAAAGCCGTGAGGTCGTACTGGTGGTAGCAACAACACTGTCCAAAGTATAATTTAGTAAAAAAAACTATTTTAGTAATAGCTTTTAATTTTCATTATTTTCGTGTTTGAACTTATTGGTTGTAGAGGTATCAGCAGAATATATATTATCATATGTAATGGAACGTACATTACTAATAGCAGCTATTTACTTTGTTACCACGCATTGCTTTGGATGAGCTATCTCTGTAGTTCAAACTGGTGCAGTTGAGTTGGATGAATATAATCGAACAAATTTATGTTCAGTCTAAGCTATACACTTCTATATTTTACGTAAGCTATATATAATGCCCTCTAAACAAATGCTAGATAACCAGAAATTACGAAACCCGCAATACTCATACTTTTATGAGTAAATATTAGTATAAATTATAAAAGATTTTAAGGCTATTGTTCTCTGGGGTAAATTGTTAACTGAACTTAACCGTTAATTTTGTTCGGTGCTACCTGGCAGTACCACGCTCTAACGAACTACGCGTCGTGCAGCGTCAGAAATTTCTCTTAACAGGCCACTGTTTGTTGCAATAAGCATCAGTTTCACGCGCTTTTGAAATTACCGTTTGGTTTTCGTTGACATTCTCGGGGTTTTCCGCTTTTGGTCAAATCTATTTTTTTTTATCTACGACTTCAATCACATCATGCCCGTTCTATCCGCCAGTCAACTTTAAAATCCGTGAATCTACTTTTTCGTAATTCCCCCATGTACCCGTAATCTCCCTCATACTTTTATATGTCGTGCTATTTTTCATCTTACCTACCATTATACTTAACACCGTATGTAATACAAAAGACAATTTCGGTATAAAATATCACAGTCAATTTATTAAACATCCTCTGACTTCTTGACTTCATCATCTCATCCGCCAATGGCGGGGGTTGACCTAGTGTTCGTCTTTCGGCGCGTCTGTTTTATTAAGTTCGTAGTTAATACTATTTCCGCTAAATATAACTAGTGCTCGTCTGTGGTGATGTTATGGTCAGTCTGCTACCTTCGCTAAATGTGTCTCCTCTTCGTGTATTCGACGAAAATCGCGCTTCATGTATTCCTGTGTGATCTTTGGCTCGTGACGCCAAGTTTTTAGTTCTTCATCCTAGAAAGGTTAGTGATTCATCCATCTCAACTACTCTATCTCACCTTTTCGCCTTCCTGCGCTCCATCGAATATATATGCATAAATCAAATATTAATTTGATATATTTTGCAAAAAAAAAAGCAAAGTGAGACCCCGACGTGTCTACCACGACCCTGTCGGTTCGCAGTAGACGACACCCGAGCCTCGTACGTACTTGGCACTGTACTTTTTTGAAGCTTTTTGAAGATACGTTTGAAGATCGTTGTTGATGCTGATGATGACGATGACGATTGAAGGTAGCCAATTTCGACGTCGAAGTCTTTTTTAGCGAAGTGGTGTTGGGTGATGAGCCGTCGTGACGGAGAGCCGCCGCGCATCACCATCGTCGAATTTGCACCAAGTGCGGAAAGAGCATGCAGATAGATAGATAGGGGGGGGGGGGGGGGGGATAGCAAGTAGGGACACCGAACACGTGCGTCTGACGGATAGCATGTCAGACACCGTGTGCCGATGGAGCCCAATAGTAGTTCGATTTGTCTTTTCTCTTTAGAGAGACAGAGGCGACTCTGACTGCAGCGATCCCCAAGCCACGCATGCAAACCAGCTCCGGGGTGCAGTATCAGAGCAACAAGCGGATGGGGACAACCTACCGTGAGTGGGCTGCGAGGGTCCGGCAACAGAATCGCCGGCCCCTCCTGAGGCGCCCTGAGCAGCTTGTGCGGCGGCCGCGAAGGCCAGCACAGCTGTCGGGTCCTGCGTGTTCAGGCTTGCCAAGGCACCGGGCGTGGCTGCGTCAAAGTTTATAGCCGGCTTGATGTCGTCCTTCGTCAGGTTGTCCGAGCTCGAAGAGTTGTTGTCCTGGTGTCCGGCACCTTGCCGAACCTCAGTCATGCTCTGTTCGAGAAGCTTCGACGGCTCGAATTCGGCCTCCTCGCCTGCCGATTCGTCATCGGACGCGCCACGCGTCTCATCAAGGTTGTCTTCCGCTCCACTCTCAACACCAGACCCCTCGTCTCCCGAGCCCTTCTCGGAACCGGCCGATTTTCGGCGCCGTTTCCGGTTTTGCTGTGACATCGGCGAGTCGGTTTGACGGAGAGGCGTGGACGCATTTGAGTTGCTTTCGTGGCTAGCCATGCTAGCGGCTGAGAGCGATTGGGAGGTGGCGTTTTGGCGCTCCTGGGCAGCCTGGGCAGCCTGTGCGGCCTGGACAAGTTGCGCCTGTGCCTGCTTTAACGCAGTTTGTTGCATTGCGGCGACGAGCGCGTTTTGGGCGGCGGCGGCGGCAGGCGCCAAACTCTGGGCTAACGGCGATGCAGCAGCGACTGCAGCAGCGGCCTGTACAGAGGGCTGTTGCTGCGCCAACTGTGCGGCTTGTTCCGACTTCGCCAGATGACCGTTATGGCTGTGGGTATGCCCGCCGCCAAGCGACGCTCCTAGGGGACCGCCAACCGAACCTGGAGGTACTGAAGGTACGCCAGGTTTTTGGCTGCCCGACTCATTCGTCACCTCGGCGAGACCTATGGGAGGAAACAACAGACAACAACTTGCATAACTTTAAACGTAAATACAAGGGGAAACGCGCATGACAGGCAATCGATCTTTCGTCCAGAATTTGGAAAACGTAATAATCCATTTTTTTAATTGAAAAATAAGCATTAGTACTGTGGCAGTTGTACGTACCTTTGATTTTGAGAGCTTCAGCGGCCTTGAGAAGGGTAGGCAACTGGTCCTGACTCACATTGACTTCCCCCCGATACATGAATTGTACCAGGGCTTTGAGGTCAACAAAACGAATGTCCTTAAGAATGACGATGGGATGCTCACACGGATTCTGGATGAATAGACTCTGAAAGAATGGGCTGCACGCGGACAGCACCATTTTGTGTGCGCGCACTGATAGCCCATCGCAGGCCAATGTGACGTCAACAAAATGTTCTGAGGACAATAGCTGGTCGAATATCGACAGCATATTCGACTGGTGGTTGTTCCATTTTAAACAGAACTGTTGCGTGCTACCCATCTTTGGTCTAAAATCGAGAACAAAAACAGCAGAACAAAGCGTCGTTAGTATTGTTTTTGGTATACACTGAGGTTTTTCTATATAGAAAACGAAAATATCTCTTGGAAAATTATGCTTAACTGGCGTAATACGAAACCATTAATAATATTATAGGAACCATTAATAATACTATTATAATATTACTAATAGTTACGTAAAATACAAATTCGAATCATATGCGCGCGAACATGCGTAGAGAATTTCCATTGGCCTGGCTATGCTGACCTTATTCCCATTGCTCACTAAAACAAACCCAAAACGAACGGCAGTTGGCTTTGTGCAGCTCGTATGACGCCAAACGGATAGCTGCTACTAACCGCTGACTAGACGCACCGAAAGCCATCACCCATTGATGAGATTTAGGTCAACATGGCGCAAGAAAGTAGAAGGGAAGCGGGAGAAAATGACGGAAGAAACGTTGCGAAAGAAGCAACAAATCTTCCTAATGATACATCGACTCTGCTTTTAATGTTATTTTCGAAACGGTGAAGAACGTTTCTACTTATCAGTGTTCCTTATTCGATAAAAGAAAGTTCTGCGGTGCAAAATTCGAAAACCAATTATAATAAAAGAACGAGGCTTCCATGCGGCCGTGTGGCAACATTGCAATACAGTCCATGTGGAAAAATCAATCCGATATATCGAGAAGCCGACTCTAGCGTTACTGTCGTATATATATATATAGCGTTACTGTCGTATATATATATATATATATATATATATATATAGCGTTACTGTCGTATATATATATTGTATGATACCTTCGCCTGGTAAATAGATGTTACATACTCCCGCCTGACAGTTACTGGCATCTACTAGCTTCGTCAGCCGAAGTTGTAGTAATACTGCATATATTCGATAAGTCGTCGCTCGCTACTATTGTAATAGCATTGTGGAAAGGACGTCGGCCAGGCCGATACGAAGAGCTGCTGTCATCTCATTAAATCTATTTAGTCTTGTCCTATCCCTACCACAACCGCATAAAAGGCGATGGGTAAGGGACCGAAGCTAGAAGCAGGATAGTGCGCTGAACTCGCGTTCACTTTTTGCGGCCCTTTTTGACACAGCTGACTAAAGGAAACCAGCTTTAGGTGGTCGTAATTAGGCGCTACCAGCGCGCTGAAGAGCAGCAACAGTAGCGACGATGGTTGCGACGAGCAGGAGAAAGATCCCAGCGGTCAAGAGTTAGCCTACAACGGACAGGCCAACAACAACCAGCGGCAGCAACGAAGATAAATCGGCTAGTCAAATGGCCGGCAGCTAGGCCAAGCGCTCACCGCCATTGCCGTCGCTTTGGCTGCGTAGTTTGTCTTAGAACACCGATGGACAGGCGCCAGTTGGCCGGCTGGCGTGAGGCCTCTTCCCCCCTCCCTCAGTGGAAGCTGCATCAGCAATAGAGGCGCCAGCGCCAAACATAGCAACAATGCCTGCCAACGGACGACCGCCAGCCGCTTCGCCTTTATAGCGAACAGTATCAACTAGCATGAGTGTCGGCAAGCGAGCAAGCAGCGGCCGGCGAGCGGCGCAACGGTGACGCATGCGCATAGTAGTTGTTATAGAGCGTGTATGAACGCGGCGATAGCGGCGGTGATGGTGGTGGTAGCGGTGGCGGTGCCGGCGGCGACGGCGGAGGCGGCAGCGGCGGCGACGGCGGGGGAAAAGTCTACCAACGAACATCGGTGGGCGATCACCAACCGCTTTACAACCACCGCGATACTACGTTCCGCTACGAAACTGCCACGATTAATAGCGCCACTTCTGCTCCTATTATTACTGGCGTTTCTACCGCAACTGACGCTCCGTTGCCGCTCGAGGTCAGATAGAATCATCACGAAGATGCTCGATGCTACGATGGTCATGGAAATGTAGACGACGCGTTCGCCACGCCAGCAACAGCCCAGCCGTTGAAATCTGAATGCCGAAAGCCAGCCGCAGTTACCTGCTAACACCGAAGATGGCTGTTGCCTCGGTTACCACTGGCAGCAGCGAGCAGCAAAGCGAAGCAAGCAAACGCTTGTTAGCGCCGCCGCTGACGCTCGAGACGCTGGCAGCTGAGGCTCTAGTAACCGCAGCAGCTGGGAAAGTAAAGATGCTTTTATAATGATGCTGGTATAAGCTTTCTTACATGGAAATTGTTGCGTTGTTGATCACGATATGGCTTACGAAACGGAACTGGCAGCACAACAATCGTCAACAGCAACTATCGTGATTGTGGCAGTAATTCTCCGACCGGCCGTTTAACTAGCTTATAATACGACGTGTTGCAAAAACGCTAGATGCTGTTTCCGACCAATGGCGGAGCTATAAAATGTGCTACGATAGAGCAAAGCAAAAAAAGCTTACGATTTCGCTGACAGCAACATGGCGGTAGCTGGCAATTGCAACAACGTCCCATCGTTTGCCAACTCGCACTGCGTCACATGATCTCAACAGAAGCCACTTCATGAGCAGAACGCCAACACCTTTGAACTGATGCTGGCTTGGGCTGAAGCCGAATCGCCGCCAAAATGGTGGTCAAAGCAATTTTATCGAAATGGCAAACAATCTGAATTATTGTAATACAACAGCTCGGTTGTGAGTACTGTGATGGCACATGGCGGTGTAGTTCGTAGCCACAAGAACCAGTCGATCAAAGAAACGCTGTATTATTAACACGTTTCGGCTATTACCACCGACATACCGGTATGCTATCTAAAATTGTACAAAAAAAAACACGAAACTAATGGATAGTTTCAACTATATGAAATTCAATGGCACTAATATCAAGCACCATAAGCATCGAGCTATAGACCCCGCATCGGCTGCTTTGACGAACACAGCGTCTACAAGGTGTGTCCAAATACTATCGTATTATTTGTCTTTTACGGATCATCCTGCCGGAATCACCGTCGTATTATAAAAGGCTACAAAATTCTATGCAGTAGCTATTTTCGTCGACAGGACACCTACTTCGAACGAGAAAAATGAACCAGGCAAATCTCAGAAGATCACACGTCATTTCGACATGAATGCAAAACTGCACAAAACGTACCAATTCGAATGAGGTCTCACACGTAAAACAGCATTTACGATGAACAAATTAAACGCAAAGGTCTGCTCTGGTCCTGCATCGAAGAACACGCCTGACGATTACACCATGCACACGCCGATCCCCACGCTAGGCCTAACGGTTAAGTTACTCCGATAAACTGCAATGGCGTCGCTCGCCCTCCATTATGAATTCAGACCCATCGCCGCTGTTGGTGGAAATTGGCCACGAATTTCTAACTTCTGAAATGCGTACTTCTATTCACGAAAGCATTCACGTTTTCCTATGTCAGTACGAGAGCACAAAAAAAACGAACGCCTAGCCAATACTGGAAGTAGCCGTATTCGCTGCGTTCGTTCAACAGTACATAGATAGGCAATAGGCACTCACCTCTGTTGGGTACAACTGAGAGGAACCGAGGTAGGGTGGTAACGCCACGATGGGGTGGCGGGTGGTGTGTCGCGTCGATCCCGAGCGATCTTCACCCCGGCAGGGCTCGAGTTAATCTGTGCCCAACGAGGCCGACGCTCGGCCTACCTCGCCGCCGCTGACCCGATCAAAGCTGGAGTAGCGAATCAGAGTTGCGAGAGAAAGGGCTCTACCAATTAGCGTGCGTGCTAGTAACTTCGCCATGGCGAGGGAGATTCAACACAGCGCAAGTGTCTGGACCGCGCCAGCCCGGAGAGACGGGAGAAGCCAAAACGACGCGGAAGGCGGCGGCGGCTTGAATATGAGATACACACACACAAAGAGACACACGCGTTCACCGCCACCAGACACACACCCACACACACACACACTCACACACACATATATATATATATATATATGATAGGGCGGCCGAAGCGGTATAGAAATCGTAGGAGCCGCTATGGCGATTCTACACAACGAAGGCAGTCTAAACGACAAGCACACTTTGTAACAGCAAAAACCCCAACCATCTAGTTTCGCCAAGAAGTGACCGAGCAAATGCAGACATCTGGCATCGATGCATCAATCAGAAGGTAACAACGAGCTTTCTGCTTCGCCCGCTGGGAGGCGCTCTTTGTCGACCTAAGATGCTTGCTAGCTTCATCTTGTCCTCGATCCCCCTTTATTCATCATCATGGACAAACGGACGGATGCGTATACGACGCAATAGACCGACGCTAGTGGACGGCACCGAATGAGAAAAAATATCGTTTGCGACCGCTGCTACCGCTAGCCTATGCATCACCACATCATGACGTCAGTAGCAGTAAGCAGGCAGAACGATGGTCGGCGTCATTTCGTCGGAGACAGGCGAGGGAAAAGGAAACCTGAGAAATCGAGGGGCGACAGTCAACTAGTAAACCGAGAGGTGGCTGCTTGTTCAGCGCTTCGTACCTAGCTGGCGGCAAGTAGCATTTTTGCTGTTGGGATATTCAGGTGGCACAGGGGACAGGGGACAGTGCGGGGGGGGGGGAATGAACACGGGAACGGGCCGGATATTTTGCTAGAAAAAAATCAACTGCAATAATCGCCAGAAGAGTTTTCGAGTTTCCTTGGCTTTTGGCCCATCACAATCCGACCCAAGCCAACAAAGTCTCGAGAAGCTGACTTACCGTCTTTGGAGTGAAATTGACGCCAGCTGGCTGTTTCGACTCTGTTCGCTAACCACATTGAATGGAGGCCACATAGAAGCTGACTAGCGTCACTATGCTTCGAAGAACGAAGATGATTACAGCACTCACAATGTGGACCGAGATGTTTCAGAATGACTATTCAGCCTGTGTTGGCTGACAACTGCATTCAAACAGTGCTACCTTAAAAGTCACAGCAACTCTGCTTAAAGAGCAATGGCCAAGTGAGTTGAGAGTTAATCCATATATGTGCGTGTGCCTCTTGCCCTCACTGGTTGTAGGGGCGCAGATGAAGGCATGAAGAGGCACTTGACGCAGGCTTGATAAGCGGAGAGAACTTGGAAAGGGGGACAATCAAAAAATGTTATTTTCTAGTTAATTAACATGTTTGTTTTGATGTTAATTAACATGTTTGCTTTGATGTTTTGAAAGATAGAGGAGACCGAGCCAATTGGTGTCAATTCTCTGTAAACCACTGATAATTCTCAACAAACATTTCTGCCCCCTGAAGAAAATCTGAGTAGACATGATTGTAGCACAGCTGTGGGGGTGGATGGAGAGTAAAATAGGTAAGTTTACGGTGGATCCAAATGTGTAAGTTATACGCCTTATAGACGTATAGCGACGATGTTCAGTTTCTGGAGGGCAGTTGCCTCGAAGACGGAGTCACATGGCTCGTGCTTCATATAGTGGATACTGAATGCCTTCAATAACCATGTTGATTTACATTATGTTAAGCTCAATTAATGCAAACGATGTTTTTGTGTTTGATGGAAAACATAATATATATATATATATATATATACGTATTCAGCAGTACCGAAATCAGACGCCAAGATAAACTGGTCTAAACCTAAGTGAGCTGAAGTTAGATGTAGTTTTCCCTGAATCGTGCTCGTTCAATGTGGAGCTGTACGACGTTATGCACTTTCAGAAGTTGTTATAAGTTATTTGTTATTTCGAAGTTATTCGATTTCTTGGGAATAACCGCGTTTTCGAGCCATTTCTTTACTCGACTATTTACACCATGTAGCTATTCGAACGCGAGGAATCGCCTAAGGCGTACCTGGCTTACCGTGTCATGCCGAAACCGGATAAGCTGCCATTCTGTAAGTTCTCGTATATCAGTAAAATCAAAGATATGGTATGTTAACGCTCTTTTTCTCCTTAATGACTGTCAACACATACTCAGTCCAATTTCTAAGAGGCATTTTATAGTCGTTCTTTCGTTTACGTGAAAAATGTGGAAATATGATGAAATACTTATCCGACCTAGCAACAGACAATTCGACTACTAGAAACTAATCACTTCAAATAATAATAGTTGAAATATTGTGTAGGTAAAAACATTTGATGAATGCAGTTAGTGTTGAATAGAGGGCCTGTCTTCTAACCTGCGGCGCAAACAACTACCCTTATTGTAATTTGTTTACCGACTGATGTAGTGTACATGTATACAGGAACAGGGTAAACTATATATTGTCGAAAACGACAGGACAGATTTTAATCAGTTCTGCTAAGTAAATTGCCCTGACGATAGAACTTTGTGAAGATGTGCTTTTTTTATGTTTAAACCTACCCTAAATACAGAACTCTTCCCTGTTCGATGAACCACCATGGGCTGCTGTGGCAATGACTAATAACGACACCTACGTGACTCTGGCACTTAGCGTGAACTGCGTAAACCACGTACAAGCCCAAGTATTAGATAGGGGGCCGGGAGGGCTGGATTTACAGTATAATAAGACAGAACTCAGCAGTTTGGGAAATGATAAATTCACAAATTGGCCTATATAAGCAGAAGTTTCGTCATAACTAGACACGCTTTTTCCGGCTGCAAGTCTATTCTCTTAAGTGCTGGTCGTTGCCGTCGAACGGAGAAACGCGATAGCGACCATAAAAATATCTGTGCATGAGCGCTGGCACTAAGGGCGGTTCGAACTATGATACTGGCAAGGTCATCGTATTAAGAGCAATACAAGCGATGGACGTTTACAGAAGCGAAGAATTGTATAGTGCAAAGTAGAGTTTGTATAGCCAAGAAAACATTTTCAAAAATTAGACTACTACTAAAAAGGATCATCTATGAGTGATCTTAACGATCTCCATAAGTGGATAATCGTTGTACATCTTCATAACACACTAGCGAATCGCCTGGTGATTAGAGCGTATTGAAATGTAAATGTATCCATTTGTCGCTGTGTTCATCAGAACGCGATGACCTCACCTAAAAATCACGTCTGGTGACCCACTTGAGATTTGAAAGATAATCGCTAACTGGATTTCGTGGACGAATCTTGACGGAATACTGCACTTGTATAGCCAATCGGGACAAACTGCCATTTTCAAATCTATAAATTTCGGCGGAATATTCCAGTTTGTTGGGAATGCCACGTCAGTTAAATACGCCAGACAAGGAATAAATGGAGAAAATTATTGGTTGTATTATAGTTATGATTAGTTTGGGTTTTGCGTTTTTTTTCGAAACGCACATTTTTGGTTAGATAAAAACTGGAGGTTGCTTTTTCTAGAGCTGTCGTTATTACCGCTATCGTTGGTAGCGTTTTCGGACGAAAACACTTGGTAACACGCCTCATTTGCTTACCAAGTTTGGCCTAGCATCATGGACAAGTTAAATTGCAATAGGCGGAAATGAACGCACTTATTGAGATATTAATGCATACATACAAACGAGGACCTCAAATAGTAAGAAGTCACAATACAACCATCCCGACAGTATGCGAAGTTTGTGCCGTATACACCAAACTGATAGTATTGGCAGCTTTTCCATTTGGAAAAACACGGCGGATTGGGGTAAATTTGAATTTGATGAGAAATCGTTTGTTGCAAAAAAAAAGTTATTCTACTATAATGGTACTTTGACCCCCATGGTCTAAGTTTTATCATGAATGTCATTGATCAGATTAGAAGCAAGATCTATCGCTGGCTTGATATGCTACGGATTAATGAGCCGAAATCAAATTCAACAGCGGTGGATTTTTCTTATCGATTCCACTAGGCCAATACAAATTAATTGAGTCGTTTTGATTAGATGGACCGTTTGATTGGATGAACATGTATGAGGACCGCCGATTACAACAGGGGACAGTATATATTTTAGTAAGCCAACGTAGCTTGTTATTTTCTAACCTTCTATTTCGTTCATTCTTCTTCTACTAATTCATTCATTCAAGTCAGAGGCGAGAAAATACCGATTTTGGGCTAACCGTAATGCGTGACACACATTTATGTACAAGCTTCCCTATTGGTTCTTCTTTGGGTGTCCCTTTTACATAGCAATGACGCGAAATACAAATTTCAAAAAAGGCAGCTAATGTGAGCATTAGTTTACTCTTTACAGATTTTATAGATAAAAGAGGCGTAGGAATCTCTTGTTTTCCACTAGCTAATGGTAAGTGTCCATTTTCTTGTTAGGTAAGCTCATGATTATGCCCTAAAACTGATCGAGTATTAATTGATTGGATGGACAAAGTTCAGCCGATCCCTTTTGTGTACGAGAAGATCGAGATTGAACGTTACGGCATCAGCTAGTACGGGCTTTAACGTTGTAAGCTGTAGCCATCGTGGATGTGTCAGTCTTCGCTGATAACATTCATTAGATACTTAGCTCTTAAATATGTCCCTAGATCAAGTGCTTTACATAACTGCACCACCAGTACATAATGTCTATCTTACGCCGTAGTACAGGTAGAAACGTATTTACTGTAAAGAAATAAGCAGCCCATTTAAACATCAGACAAATTTAATTGAGCTGACCAGACTATTGATCTTCACGAGAACTGCTTCTGTACTGGTAATGTAATGAGACAATCACTGATATATGCCCACCTGTCTTGGGCTACAATTTGGCACTGATAGCCCCAAGCGTAGCTTATCGTTGATTTGTTATTGATGC